TGGTACTAAAACATTTTGATCTTAGAAATAATTCTCGGTGACATTGTGACAAAATCATTCTGACAAYGGAGCACGAAATATCCTCAAATCTYCAAACATGAACATAAGAGGCATCTTCTTAATGAATTTGTGACTCTCAGGGATAGAATTTGCAGGTAATATTGTCATCTCTGTGTGGTTTGCTCAGTCGAACAAAAGTCTCTTACACCTCCTACCAAAGGGTCTTTTCAAGCATAAAAGCTTAACATTTGTGGATTCATTCAGTGTTTGTAGGATGCTTACCCTGGCCTGGTTCTGGTTTCTCTGAGAYAGCTGCACCTATAAAAAATGGCAGCATAAAATATTAGAGGAGACTCATAGTGGCACATGCCCTTGGTCTGCTCATGTCCTAATGGGACCAGCCTTTAAAAGAATTTCGTGAAGTAAAAATAATTATATGTCATGGYTGTATTATGGGTAAAGCATTTTCTTGTTTAGATTGTGGAATATGCATAYACCTCAATACTCAATTTTTTTCTTCATCTCTTGGTCTTTTTTTCTGTCTTCTTATAGGCTCTCTCTTGGTCATTTCTTTGGCAGCAAAGCAACATTTTCTTAGTCCAAGTCCTTTCAGGCCTCTGTGATGTTTCCTGTGTCATAAATCCTAGTCTCCCATTTAAAATATTGAATGCTTACTCCACTGGACAGAACCTTGTGAATGCAAATCTCTGTGTGTGTGAGCACATGAATCTATTCAGAGTAATTACTTCCCCTTTCTGGATACCTTTGAATATGTGTTGAAGCTTRTAATTTGTAAACCTACATTTCTATACAAATGTAAAATTGTACAATTTTTGTTATTAGTTGTTTTAAACACAGATATAGGAGGTTGATATATTTCAGAATAAGCCATATGTTACACATAACCCACTTGAAATATTCATATGTGGCTGTTTTAATGTCATATGCTATAAAATCACTCATATATCTGTATAAAGCATACATGTAAAGGCTGCACATTCCAGTAATGAAATAACCCAGGGGATATTTGGAGATTTAAAAAAAGAGGTATATTAAATTAATCATAGGAAATAGTTTGCTATAAATATTTAAACTGTTATAGAATGAAGCCATTTGCCAAAATGRAAAGGAAGAAAATGTAGTCTTCCAAGATGGTGATCTACACTGCAATTGTATTTCTAGATAAGTGATAAATTCCAGATCTTAATTGTACGATGGTTGCTCTTTCTGGGTCACATGTAGCTAACATCTTGATGGACTTACTATGCAATGAAAACTCATTTCCTTGTGACATTGAATCAATGGATGAATGCATGAATAAAATGGAAAATTTAAAAACTCTCATAGCAGGCGATTCTAGCACTGAAGCTGGCTATAATTTTTGTGGTAAGAATTATTACAATATTTAGTTTCACCTTAGTCTTTATTTACATGGCTATAAAATGTTTTATATTTTCTTAAGTTAGAACTCACTATCATCTTTATATTAAAAGGAATTGAAAATCATTTTAAAATGATATGGTTTTGTGTGTACATGTTTGGCTCCTTCTCACACACAATGAGAGAAGAGTGACTTAAGGAGTGATAAGACTTACTAACTTTAAAGTAGCACTTTGAATATTTTAGAGAGGGAATCTCTTGTCTCTCTTTTTGATTCTAAAAATGTTTCTTAGTTCAATATTTTGGAGTTGCTAGTTGTCTTAAGGAAGAAGATATACTTGTGTTTCTCTGTATGTGTGTCCATGTGTGTGTTTTAAGGAAGACTTGGAAGAAATCATTACTCAGTATAATTGCTTGTGATTTATAGTAGTTTTGATATAGACACTGAATTCTAATCATYTTTAACTACCAATATTGTTTGCTGATACTAAGCTGTGACAACTACAACCACTATGATCAAAGCTAGTTTGGGTGAAGATTGACCTTGGTGTGTTACATGTTTTGCTCTTTGACAGTACAACATCCCAGGGAAGCAGAGCCTTTAGGATGTTAAGTTTCAGAGTTGCAGAGTTATGAAGAGCTGAGATGAGATTTGACTCCAGTTCTAGTGACACTTAAGCCTATGTGATTTCCTCGGAAAATGCTTTTTCTTCTAAGTGTTGGCACAGAGGGAATATGTCAGGAGAGAATTTCAGTTCATGTCAAGATTTGCAAGTTGTTATGAAATACTAGAGGCTTTGATACAAATGATTGTCCTTGTTAGGGCTTACTAATGTTGTCTCAGCAGATATCACTTGGATAGAACTGATGCACAGGAGCAGCTGGACCTTCCTTCCAATATGTTCTCCATTAGAACAACCCAGCAGGCAGCATTGGGCTGGAGATTGCCCCAAAGGCTAAAGTGACGAATGATGAGCAAGAGGGTTGAGGCCTAGAGTCTGGGTGCTGCTATGTAGCTGAATTATCTAGTATAAATAATAAACCCCCACTTGCTCCATCAGTAAAATGGAGGGGGAACTGATYTGCCCAATCTGTCTCTCAGCATTACGTAAGGCAGGTCATATGTAAAACCCAGCTTTTTATTTTTATTTATTTTTTATTGATTCATCAGTAAGTCTTTACCAAGAATATATTATGTGATTGGCAGTGGAGAAGAAGGATCTGGTGGTAAAAAACACAGATAAAGTCCCTGTCCTCATACAGTTTTTGATCTGTGGAAGGACGTAGGAAGTAGATGAATTACAGCATACTGTTTCAAGGGTTGAGGTAAGAACAGACATCCAGTAGAATCCCAATGGAGATTGAAATGTCAGTGAATGATAATAGACACTAGTAAAGCAAAGAAGGAGAAAGAATACAGGAAAAGGAAAGGTCTTGTGTAGAGGTTTTTATGGTCAAATTTAAGAGCATATTATTGTGGGAGTGAATGTTTAAAAAACAAAAGGGAAGAGAGATTTTCATGTGGCTGCAAGTTAGCCAGCCAATCTGTGGGAATGTGAATCAGGAAGCTGAGGAGGGAAGAGAAACACAAACTCAGGTCTGCATGACCAAACTTTGGAAGGGAAAAACAGTAAATGTTGGGGAGTCCACACCACTTAAAAAGATTTGTCTCACAGCATTTTGCCAAATGTGGTATCTGGAGGAGAACCTTGGCGTGTACCAAAATGCCAGAGACACTATTGTAAACAGGAATCAGGGTGTGGAATAAAGGCTCTGTCTAGAATTCTATGGAGTAGGAACCCAGTCTGGGAAGGCACAGCCACAGAAAAAAATCACAGGAGAAGGATGGTTAATGGGTACAGAAGTGCAGTTGGACAGCAGGAATAACTTCGATGTGGCATAACGGAGTAATTACAGGACCAAAATTAAATATATATTTCAAAATAACTTATAGAGAGGATTTTAAATGTTCTCAATGCAAAGAAATGGTAAGTGTTTGAGGTAATAAACATTCCAATTACACTGATCCACTTACYCTGATATATATACATGGCACATATRTGTTAGAATATCACACTGTAACCCATAAATATGTGCAAATGCTGTGACATTAAAAATTTTTAAATAATTTGAAAGTAAATACTTTAAAAGCATGAATACTTCAATTACTTATTGGAGTCACTTACTGTAGGAAAAAATAAAAAAAGAAGTCCCAGGAACATGTTGTCAAAGCAGAAGCTTGTGGGTTAGTCTTGAGGCGAAGATCTTAACGTGTAAGGACAGAATCTAGTACGTTTTGTGGCCTGGGTAGGAGCATTTTGTTCAGCAGAAACTCAATATGTGGCTTGCCTAAGAAATCATAAAGACCCACAAAGTCAGGATATGATGAAGATCCTGTGATTCATTGATACTTTGATAAATTGAAAAAGTAAAATCYAAATTTGAATCAGAACTTTAAAATCTGTGTTTTTTACTGCAAAGATTATTTCACTTCTTTCTTGGACAAAACTGCTAAGTTTTAGGAAGACCCAGGTAGATTTTTTGGGGGGTGGGGAGGGGTCAGTTGGGAATCTTGATTGGTTGGATTTTGGAAGGTTGTTGAAACCACTGGGTGTTTTTTTTCCTTTTTCTTTTTCTTTTTCCTGATGCTCAGTAATAACTGAAAAAGAATTGATCAGACAATGATACATTTGTGCCCCAGCTATGTTTCATAATGCAGTTATGTCCATGCTTCGAAACTGTGAAGCCCAAATTTTTGAAGCAAACTTAAAAGTTTATATATTCAGAGCAGAAGAATGAGTAGATATGGAGAAGGTGCGGCGGGAAATTGTAGAAAGTGAATCTTGGATATTTGGTTGATCTTGTACTTCTTCCTTTTTAACTCATGTCTCTGTGACCATATTATTTGTCTTGCACCTTGAGTGTGAAAAAGAGTGCTTTAATAATATGTCAGAATAGCAGACATAAGCTGGGATATAGCTTCACCCTGGTTTAACGTCATATACTCTGTGGAGGGCTTTGCTGATGCCATCTTACCCCCATTTGTGACATTCATCCTCCTCTATGTTCCTTCCATATTCTTATGGATAGCTCTGATGTGGTGCAGACTATGTTATTTGTGAGTTATTTGTGCCACGTTTGTCTTTCCCATTGAACTCTGAGCTCTTTTAGGGGAAGAGTTCTATCCTAATATTCTTTGCTCAGTTACTTTTCTTCTACAGCCCAGGACCTGGTCCAATGTAGGTTTTCAATCAGTGTTTGATGAGGAATACATAATGGATGAATTGGGAAGGAGATAAGTGACAGACTGGTGGAGAAGACTGGAGAAGTTATTGTTAGTAGAGAGAAAAGCAATCACATGCGTAATATCAAAGAGGTGTTCACCACGATCATGTGCAGGGTGTTGCAAATTGAGAAATGCCAAGAAATGAGGGCCCCTGGAGAAAGGAAGAGCCAGGGTTGGTGGAGACTGTAGATCACCCAAACTATTGTTTGGTTGCTGCTCAAGGAGGGGTATTACATGTGATTGCTCTTTTGCTGTCCCTTCATGGAACAGATGGGAGGCTAGGCTTGAATTCCGGTTTGGAGGAATGTGCATGGTAAGCATTAACACTTGAATGATTAAAAGAGAATAGCTTCTCAAAAAATTTTGATACTTCTGCTTCCAGCTGAAACCAGGAAATTCAGAGGCAGCAAAAATGAAAACAAGGAAATCATTAATGGAAATTTTGAACCTAGAAAAGGTTTGGTTTGAGTTTCGAAGAAAGTCTGGGTTGGTTTACTGCCCCCCCCCAAGTACTACTGTTATGATTTGCTGGCTTTTACTTTATTATACTTCACTTATTTAATATTATCATGTAATGTTCTAATTCTTAGGGGTGGGTCCCCAAATTTGGCAGCTTAGGCAACCCTTCTATATTTACTGCCATACTGCCGAAGCCAAACTATGCAGAACAGGCTTATGTTGTAACAGTGTGGGCCTCTTTGCCTCAAATCATCAGTTCTACTTGGGGGGGTCTTGCAAAGTATTCTATGAAGGGTTTTCTCCATTACTCGCATAGAATGGTAACACTTTAATTAAAGCAACATGTATACATAATTTAATAAGTGATTGCCAGAACTTATTTTCTCTAATAAAATAATAGTAAGAAAAAGTTTTTTTCCCCCCTTAAAAATATATATCACTTAAGGAATTATGAATTGCCTAAGCCTCAATCTCTAAATATTTTGGTCTGGAGTGACCCTGATTTCTAAGAATCTGTGGAAGTTTTGGCCTGTCCACAGTGGTCAGATCAGGCTCTAGGCACTAGTATGGAACTAGTAAACTGAATCTCTTCTTCCTCAAAAAGTAAGGTTTCAGACCTTTTTCCTTAAGAAGAGAGGTTTCCCTTTAGGGATCTGTCTCTGCATTTGTGAGTCTTCACTGAGCTCTTRGGTAACTGATGTATTWAAAGAACTGTATTTAAAGAACTCTCTTGAATGCCCACTTATTTTATCTATACATGTTCCTTTAAGTTCCTACCTAAAGAGTTTACCTCCATGTGACAAAGCTGCTTCCTTTAAATTCTCATTACCACTCACATTTTATGCTGAAATAATGTRTATTTGAGTTGCAGTTTGCAAATAATGATGAGAGAGCCTTCTTCTTAATTAAGTCATTGTTTAACCTGTTATTCTACTGAAGTCCAATCCTTGGTTTTCCATTYAGTGGAATCATTTCTAATTTTGTTATATATAATATTTCCTTTCTATACAGATTTAAATTACTTACAACCATAAAGAGCATTAACATAAATATGGCATTTACATTACAGTTTTGATAACTGCAAGCCTTGATGCATGCACAGGTGATCAGAAACTACAAAAATGTTAGGAAGACTCACATTTAAATTAAGGAGAAGGCACTGCATTATTAATAAGTAAGCTAGCACATTTTAGACAACTCAACTCTTCCAATATTTCTTTAACTTTTGGTGTAAAGTTCAATGTGCATTTAACATAGTTTAACTTTTTTCTTTCCTAGAGAGACATCTCCTCTATGGGCGACCTGCCGTGCTTTATCGAACTAGATATAATATCTTATATCACACTGACTTTGAAAGCGGTTATAGTGAAATATTCCTAATGCCACTCTGGACATCATACACTGTTTCCAAACAGGTCATTGGAAAAATTGGGTTTTGTATTCTTCATTTCGTTACATTCCTTGATCAATACAATGATTACTTGTCTTAGAAAATATCTTTTTTTCTGGTGGAAGAAATTCCCTGTTGGATCTATTATAAGATATTTTGAACTAGTCTTTATTCAGGGTTCTAATAGTTCCATGATAATATGTTAAATATTGAAAGGGGCATGCTAATTCTTTTGTTTTTGTTTGTTTGTTTTTAACTGTGCATAAATTATTGCCCAGTAATTACAGAAACCACTAAGATTTGTGTATTTTTTTTGTTTTAATGGACTTTATTTTTTTAAGAACAGTTTTCAGCCTCAAGATTTAGTGGAAAGTACAGTTTCCTTATATTCTCTCGAATGCACAGCCTCTCCCACAAATTGGCATCCTGTTTTTATTTATTAAAAGTTTTGTGTTGGAGCTTCAATGTGATGAGGATGAGATACATAGGTTACATCATGAAGTGGAAAAATTTATTTGGCACTTGAAGTGTTTTAAATTTCTGAATATAAATAAAAAGAATACTTCTACTTATATATGWAYATTATATATATAATATGTTCTTTATGTGTGTAAATGTATGAATATATATACCCACACATATAAAGAGTACACACACTTTTTTTTTGGAAAGGATGTCTGTTATTGCTAAATGTGTTAGTTTTTAAATGATCTGTGAAAGCCTATTCATTTTCCAGCAGTGGGATTTCTGCTTTATATATTGTTATCCTTAAGACTTTGATAAAAGACTTCTGTTGCTAAAAAATAAGCGTTTGAAAATTACTGGCTTGTTGTTTTTAAAACTAATGATATTTAAAGGAATCAGAATATCAGAATATGAGCTATAGTAAAAGCCAGTAGGRTTTTGGTTTGGGCTGCTCATGACAGAGTAACCTGGCATTACTGTGTCCCTGTCATTTGGCCTTCTCTCTGCGATGGCATTACTGAGTAACTTTGACTCTCATGCAGGCTGAGGTTTCTGGCATCCCTGAGCATCTGACCAATTGTGTCCGCCCTGACGTCCGTGTTTCTCCAGGCTTCAGTCAGAATTGTTTGGCCTAYAAGAATGATAAGCAGATGTCCTACGGATTCCTCTTTCCTCCCTGTAAGTCACAGAGTGTCTGGATCTGATCACTTGGCTGGGGGCAGGGATATACTGTACATTCTGGAGTGTGAAACTAGGAAGTTAGGGTCTCGGTGGCTCAGATTTTCTTTAAGAGGGGCCACTCAAGAGATTGTAGAGATGAACTTTCTGTGATCCTTCCAAAATTAGCCAATGACCAACTTTCAAAAATCCGACTTTCCAGGAGAATTTTAAAGTGCAAGGGAATCTTCTGTGTTCCTCCTTACATTGTTTCATGAGAATCTGAAAAAATGAAAACATTAATCTTTTGGTGATTTTAAGGTGATCTTTTAAAAATAAGTGGAACCCTTTCATTGTCTCATTATCTTGATACTATTTTTAAAAGTCTGAGTTACACTAATGAAATCAAGGAATTCTTTTACAAAGTACTTAAGTTTAAGAACTAGGTAGAATGAAAAACAATTTTTGAGAGAGACTGAGTGAAGGGAAAAGACTGAGTGGGGGAGGGGGAGAAATGTCTAAAGGAGGCAAAGAGTGGGAATAAAGGAGGAGATCTATTACCTGCTTRCCATGGGACCATTTTGGAAGACTATTTTTCTTTTGATGTAGATTTTGGTAAGTCATGTACACTATTTGCTCTCTTGATGTTTAGATCTGAGTTCTTCGCCAGAGGCTAAATATGATGCATTCCTTGTAACCAATATGGTCCCAATGTATCCTGCTTTCAAAAGTAAGTCCAATATTTACCTAATAAACTGTTATTTATGAAAGTAAATATTTCTAAATTTACCACTTACCTTTTCTACCACTATGTTGATTTTAATAATGATAATACCTTTCATGTGTTTAGCCTTCATACATTTTTGAAAAACTTTCATATAAATTTTCTACGTAAACCCCAAATTTGAATCTGTGAGGAAGGTTGGCAGGTACTTTATCCCTTGTTTATATTTAAGAAGTTGACATCATAAGTGACAGAGGTCATAAGTGGTAGAAACTGAATGAACCACGTTTGTGTTTTTCTTTTAGTTCTTGCAATTTTAATACTCATTCTTTTGGTGGTTAAAAAGGTTTCCACTGAATTTTGGAAGTCACTTGACACTTAACAGCATCTACATTTACTTACTGAACATTGCCATGAAATCACTCTCCCCTGTGGGGTGCTCATGCATATAGAATGCCRACTCTGAAACCCATCAAGAGCCTAAGGGGTCTTCATTCATCAGAATATTATTTTCAGTTGGCTTTAGGGCTGTGCAAACTATTGTTTGCATTTCGTTGAAGACATAATTGATCTGTACAYGACAACAAGAGTTTTGGATGGTAAGGATTTTATGAATTTTATAGGCACAATAAGTTCTGGCCCTCTAAATCAAGTTCTCATCTCTGAAGTGTGACCACTGGCTGTGTGATTATAAAAATGCTATTTGACTTCTCATTTGTAAAATTAAAAGCTTTTACTGCATGACCTCTAAGACTCATATAGATTTATGACTATTCAGTGGTAAAAATAATCCATTTTCTTTTTCTCCTATTAAATAATTAATTAATTCCTCCATCTCTCCATTTATSCACCCATCCAACCATCCAACCGTACATTTATCTGGAGACAGAGAAGGTGGTATGGAATAGATTTTACTCCCTTTTAGTTCATTTACAGTGAAAGAACTTACATGCTTATGGGACAAGTAGGAAAAAGAAGTACTTCTCTCTAATTTGGCTTGGCAGTGGAAGATCGGGTTCTGTTTGAGGACTCTCAGGGCTGAAATAGAGTCTCAAATTAGGAAGGAGGAATTGTGGTATGTCAGCTACAGTYGCAGGCCTCCCTGCTTAACTTTGGTGAAATGGCTGCATGGTTTAGAGAAAAATATGTTTATTTGATGTCCTGGTTAGTAAATGAAGGTGTTCTCAAAGCTAGAATCTGTTGCTTATGAATGAAAATTTAAAGTCGGGTTTTAAAGGAAGATTTCCTAGTTTGTTCTGAGACTCAGTTGAGAAACATTTCAGAAACTCACATARGTACATTTCTCACAATGGGGGCACAGCTTCTTTTAATTGCCATGAGTTGGGATTTCCTGGATTTCTCTATTCTTCATTGATGTAATTTGGACCAAACAGAAATAAAGGAAACACACGGTACCACCCTGCGGCTGGTGTGGCAAGGCCTTTGACAGAGGGCTTGCTGTTCTTCACTAGGGGGATGGTTTTTTTCTCATGCCACATTTCTGTGGGTTTGGCCTTTTGACTGTTCCCATTGTTATTTCTTCTCTCTGTCTCTCTCTCTCTCTCTCTCTTTCACTCTCTCGCTCTCGCTCTTTTGGCTTAAGTTAACATTGGACCTTTCCTCTTACTGTCCTCCTTCTTTCTTTGGTACAAGTAATTATCCAAGGTTTTTGGCTCTGGTGGGCTGCTCTGCTATTTTTATTCAGAGTAGAGAATCAGAAGATAGAAAGAGCCGTGGAARCCCTATGGGAAAGATGGCCAAGTGCTTTTTAATAAGGACAGGAAAGAAGTGGTAGCATCCTGAACCTCTAATCCCCATGTAAAATAGTGGTGAGTTGGACCTAATATTAGGGAAACAACTCATCGCTTGCCTTCTCTGCTCCTGCTAGTCTCTTCTCTTGTCCATTCCACTCCTCTCCTGTTCCTTTGGTTGACCATAATGTAAACTGGAATTAGAATGGACAAGGGAGTCCCATGCCGGGGGTGACACTGGAAGTGAGAAATGAGTAATAGAAGCGAAACCAGACAAAAAGAGACCATGGAATGAATTTTCCAGGCAAAAGAATGAGCAAAAGCAAAAGCTTAGGCTTGAACAAACTTGATAAGGTCGGGGGACAGGAAAAAAGCCTTGCACCCAGGGGAGGATAGGGGTTGGAAGTAAAATCACAGGTGTCGGCAKGGCTGTGGATGGGAATTGGATTTGGATTTTTATTGTAGTTACAATAAAAAATCTTCTTCAGTGTTAGAAATGGGTGAGGGGATTTTTTTTAAAAAATATTTATTCTTAAAAAAAAAAAAAAACAGAAAAAAAAAAAACCAAAAAAATATTTATTCTTTAGTTTTTAGGCGGGCACAACATCTTTGTTTGTATGTGGTGCTGAGGATCGAACCCAGGCCGCACACATGCCAGGCGAGTGCGCTACCGTTTGAGCCACATCCCCAGCCCAATGGGTGAGGGGATTGATTGATTCTGATTTGTGGTGTAAAAGGATCCATATGGTTACTATCAAGAAGTAAGAGTTTTGCACAGGGAGCCCAGGAAGAAGTCTTCTGTGGTAGTTCACTTCACACGGCATGGAAACTTAGATCAAGATGGAAGCCATGAATAGGGTGACAGGTGGTCTGACTTGGGGTGACTGGGATGCATTTTTGAGACAGCTTTGAGAGCATTTGCTTATAGGAGTGAGGAGAGAAGTCAGGGATGCCTCCTAGAATTTGTCCTGAACAAATTCTCTGGGTGAGAGTGCCATTAACTGTGATGGAGAAGACCAGGGGCAGAGCAGGATTGGAAGGAAAATCAAGAATTCTCTTTGGGTAATGTTTTGTTGGATATGATGATTAGATATTCAAGTGGATTATGAGAAGGATGGTTGGATAACATGCTTGGGCTCCGTGGAAAGGTCGGCGCTAMGGACAAACTTGTGAGCTAGCTGTGCTTTCTTTTCAATCACCCAGAAAGACCACACTTCTACTTTTGTACCTACTGCAAAGTTAGTATGTGCACACACTACCTGGCACATTCTACCTCCATCTCTTTGTCTTACCTACTAATCCATCCTTCAGATTTCAGCTCAGTAACTTTTTCTGGGAACCCTTCCCCATCTTAATTAAATCCTACCATTATCTCATAGCTCCATATCTTTTCTTTGGCTCCTTTATAAATGAAACACAGAGATAATGGTTTAGCATAGATTCCTCTCACGAACCACAACAGTACTATTGTTTCTTGGCTTGTGACATTTGGCTTGTAGAATGYATCCTAGAGAGAATCTGGCCAGAGCAAGGAGTTTTGTTTAAGAARATCTGATTTTTGTTTTTGCACAGGGGTCTGGAATTATTTCCAAAGGGTATTGGTGAAGAAATATGCCTCAGAAAGAAATGGAGTAAATGTRATAAGTGGACCAATATTTGACTATGACTTTGATGGTTTACATGACACAGAAGACAAAATCAAACAGTAAGCTTTTCATTTCATTYACTATGGGATGCTTAAGTTCCAAGATATCAGCCAAGGTTATTTTTCAAATATTCATGTACTAGAGAAGAGTCAATACCGTTAAGTCTTTTCTTTCATTGAATCTTTTTTTTTTTAATTCTTCAGTTCTTTTGAACCTTTGATTAAATGTGGCATTAGTGGTTCAAAGGGAATTTTTCATTTTGTGAGAAATAAATGCAGTTTTCTATTCCATGAAAGAAAATATATCAAATACTTAAAAAATTATCATTGGTTCTTCTATGTAACAACTCTTCAATGGAAAGATCATAATTTTCACTTATCTCCATTATTTGGGGAGACTTCTGGAAGCTTTTATACTTTCTGAGTCATTATATATCATTAGGAAATTGCATGAATTGATTGAATCTAATTTTCTCTATCCCTCTCTTTGATGCTATTGGGGATAAATCAAATGTTGATTTCATAAGGAACTCAAGAGTTTAGGGGAGGAGGCAAGAAGACACAGAGATGACAACTTCAGAATGAGTTATCATTTAATTTTATACCCCCAGGAAACAATAAGGGAGGAGCATGGCATGTAAGACATACATAATTTTGTGTCATAGATGTTTATGGAATAAAATGCTATTTTAAAGTAATGGAGAACTATTAAAATAGAAATTATCTTACTCCTTTTCCAGTTATTTATGAGAGAAATTTCATCTTAGTTATACATTTATTTTATTGATTATCATTGTTTTATATATATATTATAATATTTATGCATACATAGTTTATGAATATAGTATATACAGTATGCATATAATATATGTATGTATATATTTATATACATATACATATTGTTTTTTTWAAAATTTTACTTATATTATTTATTGCTATTTATTTTATTTATTTATACATAGTGCTGAGAATCGAACCCAGTGCCTCACACATGCTAGGCAAGTGCTCTACCACTGAGCCACAACCCCAGCACAAAATACATAGTGTTTAACCAATATTAAGTTTTTAGTTCAATTATAATTTTGATATTTGGAAAATGATTAAAATTAAGATACTATAAAAACAGGTAAGAAATTGTAAGTTTCTGCACTTTGCTGTACTGGAAATGATTTTTTATACCTCTAGACTCATCCCCAGCACTTGGTCCTTAATGCTTTCTTTGGTAAATGAATTCTGTGTACCAAGACAGGGTCTYATTGCAGGTTGAAAGGGCTATTATTTCCCTAAGTCCAATATCTCATTGACTTTGGTCCATTTTCTACAACTCTATGAGAGTTACCTTCCTAAAATATAGGTGTAATAATGACGCTCTGCCATAAAAACCTTCAATGGAACATTATTTCCTAAACAGTAGTATCCGAACACCACATCTTGGCTGACAACCCACTGTAATTTGTCTTTTGTTAGCTCTCCAGACTTTCATTTCTACAAATTGGATCTATTTGCCATTTCCTGCCTCCAACTCTTGGATCAGACCATTTTCTTTACCTGGAATATCTTTTTCCTTCTGCAGATGGAAGGAGAAGATGCCAGACAGACATTATTTTCAGAGCTATAGAAGTGGGCCAGTGCTAAGAAGTGAAAAAATAACTCAATTGAGTGGGAATTAATGAGAATTAATGAGTAACTTAGGCAATAACCTTTGGTCACCATTTAAAAAAGAAAGCTTCCATATCTCAATTTTATATCACCTTCCCGTTTCAGGTATGTGGAAGGCAGTTCCATTCCTGTTCCAACTCACTACTACAGTATCATCACCAGCTGCCTGGATTTCACTCAGCCAGCCGACAAGTGTGATGGCCCGCTCTCTGTATCCTCATTCATCCTTCCTCATAGACCAGACAATGATGAGAGTTGTAATGTGAGTTCAAAGACAAAGTCCTTTAGGATTTGTTTTCATAATTAATTTTTTTTTATAATTTACACTCCTATCATTGAACTAGAACACACATATTACAAAGCATTTGGACTRTCCAACAAAGTGAAAAGAAAGAAGGACCCAGGTAGAATATTATTTAACACATAGAGGCTTGGTGTTCTAATGGATTTTTATTTTTATGTGTGTGTCTGTGTGTGAATGGGTACATTTAGCAAACACTAGCAGGAAGACAGGAGCCTTGCTATCTCCTGATCCTGCACTAATTCAGCACAAGGGGAAAATCATCTAATCTCTTCAGATGTTTTTAATGTAATGCAAAGTCCCTGCTACAAGTAATAGTCTATGCATTTGTTTCACTTGGTAGAAGAAGCAGGGAAGTAATCTGCAGAAGAGAATGCTAGTAAACAAATCATATTCAAATCCCTAAATTGTATAAGATATACAATATAAGATATAAGTGTCCTGGATCCTACTCCAATGAATCTCCTGTGAATCTCTCCCTTTATAATACTGTGTTAGACATAGTCACTACTCTCAGGCAGCCAAGAGTGTGAGGCTACAATTAAAACAGATAAAAAAAAAAATGCTTTCCTTTTTTTTTTTCTTTCTTTTTTTACGGTGCTGGGGATTGAACCCAGGGGCACTTTGCCACTGAGCTACATCCTCAACATTTTTTTTTTTTTTTTAGCTTTTACTTTATAAATAGAGTCTCACTAAATTGCTAAGGTTGGCCTTGAATTTGTGATTCTGCTATTTCAGCCTCCTGAGTTGCTAGGATTACAGGTGTGTGCCAACATGCCTGGCTAAGTCATTGCTATACTAAAAGACAACAGAGATTATCAGCTTCGTGGGTAATGCAGTTCTTGGGCTATGGCTTCAATTATGGTTGAAAGTTGGAGCTATGAATATTCAAAGCAAAACAAAGGATGCAGGAAAATATACATATTTAAAATGTTGTGTAGAAATCGAGTTAAGCTTTTCTAGGATATTGTGATTAGGGCCAGTAGTGGGAGATAYGATTTTAAAAGTTGCTTGGAAACAAATTAAAAATAGAGTAATAGTAGTAATAGTAATAATAGTCTTAGTAACAGTTCTAGTAGTTTTTACTATTTATCGAGTACATATTGTGATCCAGATACTGTGCAGGTCTTCTACATGTATTATTTCTAATCATCAAATCACCCTATGAGGCATCTCTCTCTCTCTCCATATATGTATGCTTACATAGACACACACACACACACACACACACACACACACACACACMCCTTTTTATCAGCTGTTGAGGAGCCTATAGATAATAAAGGAAACATGCTGCCCGGTGACTTAGTAGGAGGGCAGAATGTATAGAAGCCTGTTTTCTTTTCCATTTACCAGATTTCTGTGTTAGAACCTGGGCACTTGGGAGCTTTTCTTTCTGCACAGTCATTAGATAAACCAAGAAAAATGTCTGATCAGAAGAGCAACATTTAGGCTTTATGGAGGTGAACTTGAATTGGAGGAGGCTGGGCATGGTGTTCAAAGGGAGAGATTCACAGGAGTGAGATAGCAAACCTTAAACTGGAGTAGGATCCAGGACATTTAAAAAGGACAGTGGAAAGCAGTAATAGTATACCTGAAGGATAAGTGGGGCTCTCTGCATGACCGGATGGGCGGTGGAGAAGTGAGGCAACTGCACTGAGAGGTGAGATATCACAGACTTCACAGTTGACCTTTATTTTGATTGTTCAAAACCATAAGAGTAGCTAATGGAGTAATGGGGGATGTAATGCCTCTGTGCAACATTAYAATACTTTCTTTGAGCTTCAGTTTTACTAAGAACTTCTTGGGAAGTAAAAGTTTTGCAAAAAAAACAAACACATACTGTGGAGTGAAATCAAAGTTGTCTTGCATTTTTTTGTTTTTTTTTAGATAAAGATTGCAAAGACATTTCATACATAGAGTTGGACATTTAAGGTATATATAGAGTTCTTGAAAATACGTGTTCAAGTTCTAATGTCATTAGGGGAGTTGGGTGAAGGGAGAGTTTGAAAAGCACTGTTTCAGACTAAGTGGAAGGGATAGTTCTGTAGCTGATCCACTTTTTCTATCTGGAAAGTGTAATTCAGTACTGTCCCCACAGGTCTTCCTCTGCCTACTGGTTGCTGACCTGCAGAGTTTAGAGGTTTTTTTTTTTTTTGTAAAGTTCACTTCCACTATGTTTCTTACTAAAGAATCCTCTGTCCACAGAGAAACCAGTCCATGCTTTGAAGATTATTTCAAAGCCCCAGCTTGAATTCACAAATCTGCTTAGGGGAAAGTCAGAGAGAAAAGGCAGGTGAAGAAAAAATACCCATAGCACAAAGACAGGAGGCAAGTTCATGGACTGTGCTATTGTTTGCTTTAATAATCTGTTAAATAAACTTTTAAAGTTTCTCTTTTCCTACTCTGACTTTGGTGCATGGACTTTTATTTAAATTTATTCGTTTTTCATCTTGCATGACATTCTTCATGTGCAGCGTAAGCCTGGTTTTCCTACTGACAAATTAGAGACCAGATTTTAGCATGTGAAAACCAGCAGAGAATGCCCTTCCAAAGAAAATGGCAAATCACTTCCCAGGAAAAGAAGTAGCAAAAGACATATTTTTTTTCCCCTTGAATTCTTATAATCCCAGTTTGCCATGATTTAAATTAGGAGAACTCTTTCACCTCTGTCCACATATTCAAATAATTGCATTTACAAAGGGAAAGCTGGACTGACTTACCATTGAAAAATCGAACCAATGAGATAAATATGAAAAGTCTCCCAAAGCACAACCTCATACTTACTCTGCTCACTCTGAGGGGGTCCTGACCCATCTGGAGACCTCCTACTTCGTTAATTATATGGTCACACTGAGGATTGGTCAGTACCGTTGTGGGTAGAGTTATATTTAGGTCTTTCCTGTGAGTCGTAGAGATCTTGGTTAGGTTGGCTAAGAGGGTGGGGCAGGGAAGGCTAAAATCCTTACTTCTCCAGGCTGTAAAGCAATTTCTTCCCATTTCTTAATTTTCCTGGGATGGCCAGGCATCAGTTTCCTGATCCTACCCTGTCATGCTACTTATTTAGTCCTGGCATAAGTTTCTGTAGCTCCCTGTCCAGGTCTGTGTGGGTTGGAGCTTTCTGAGAAAATCTTTGCAGGTTCTCGGGCTCTGGTGGATAGTTCACTGAGACCACTAGTGGTCAAGAGTTGGATGAGGGCAAATCTGAACATTTTCAGCCCTGGGACATGCAGCCACACTTCAACTTCTAGAAAGACTCTTTTGGGGGTGGGGGGTGGGGAGGGTCATTTCAGTCCCAAGGGAATTAGGCGATGAGATCACTTGTAAATCCCTCCTGTCCCACGTCTACTGAAGAAGGCAAACACTTGTAATTGACAGGGCTCTCAGACCTTGTTCTTTCTCCYAATTGCCTCCAAAATAAAAGAATATGTTTTTGAGAAGCAAAGTACTGCTTCACCTGAATTACCTTTTGGTTTTAAGTTAGACTTGAGATAAATTGTTTGATGCGGGACATCTGACTATCTTGCATCTAGAATTTGAGACAGCAAGGCAGTTTTTGGCAAGTAGCTGAGACAGAAAGAGATTTCCTTTCCTTCATGATGTTTCTTTACCTTATTTCCCCCTCTTTCTCCCTCTCTTTTTTTTTTTCCTACTTCCCAGGGACCTGCTGAAGTAAGTGTATTAACCTTTGAGTTGATAAAGAAATGTGGTCTTGAAGTCAAGCATCATGACCAAGTTCACACAGCCAGGAAGTGGCAGTACTACATTTGTAGCTCAGGCCTCTCAAGCCCCAAAGTGCCAAGTGCATCAGCTGAGCTRTGTCAAGTTGAATTCACTATTCAAATATCAACTAGTTGCAGTCTGATAGATGATGTAGTTGATATGGTGGCTTCTTTTGAACAGTCTTAAGAATGCAAACACACACAATTTTGTGCATTGGGTATCAGCTCTGCATTTTCCTTTGGAAGCAGGAGAGTATTCAGATAACCTGTTCGCTGTAGTCAGCATTGCATTTTTCAGCCRGGAAAAGAACCAAATTATTGAATTCTCCAGAGTCTATGGTTTTCCTAATTTTGATTTACATTCTGAGAACCTATTGAGAAGAGTGCCTCTCACACCGCATGTCTCATTTATTTGGTACAGCTAATTGCTGTTGAAAATGTTTACAGCCCAGGCCAGGTATTTGTGGTGCATTACCAACAGGAATGCTGCCGAGTGACAGGAAGGTCAAGAAGGAGCGACATGCTTTWGCGCTGTGTGCAGGAGTGTGTAGAGGTCATCTGTGGACTTGGAGTAGAATGACCCTTTAGAGAACCACCTCTGGAACATTCTGACTCTGATTGCTTTATTTCCATTACAGAGCTCAGAGGATGAGTCAAAATGGGTAGAAGAACTCATAAAGATGCACACAGCTCGAGTGCGGGACATTGAACATCTCACCAGTTTGGATTTCTTCCGAAAGACCAGCCGCAGCTACCCTGAAATTCTGACACTTAAGACATACCTGCATACATATGAGAGCGAGATTTAACTTTCTGATCATCTGCAGTACAGCCTTATCAACTGGTGTATATTTTTATATTGTGTTTATATTTATTAATTTGAAACCAGGACATTTAAAAAACTTAGTATTTTAATCCTGTACCAAATCTGACATGTTAAGTGTGAATGACTCCACTGTTTTTCTCTAATGCTTGATTTAGGTAGTCTTGTGTTCCGAGTAGACCTTGTAATAAATACTGCAGCTTGAGTTTTTAGTGGAAGCTTCTAAATGGTGCTGCAGATTTGATATTTGCATTGAGGAAATATTAATTTTCCGATGCATAGTTGCCACATTTAGTCCTGTACTGTATCAAAATTCTGATTTTGTAAAGTTACATTCATTTGCTGTTAACTATGACAGACATATTTAAACCTTATAGACCAATCTTAAATATAATAAATCACACATTCAGTTTTTTTCCTCATTTTGTTTGGCCTTTATTTTACTAATAAATTAGAGGGCTTGCTTCAGGTATACTCATGCATATAAGGAACACATTTCTCGTGCTGGGCCCTCTTCCTAGTTGCTCCCTTGGTATGTAAATACAGGGGTTGGATGAGATGGCTGAGGTACATATCTGTGAGAAATCAGAAGAGCAGAGGGAAAAGGAAGAGAGAATACCTGAATACCCAGTCCAAAGCTACCTCTTAAAAAAGTATTCTGAACATTGGAAGAATTGTCTTTTTTATCAAGTTGGTTCAAAACTCAAAGAATTAGACTCAGTTGATATTGCATTGATAATTCTGTGCAAGGTGTCGACCTAAGAACCATGGTAGATATAAAAAGAAACAAAACAGTGAGTTGAAATATAGACATGAGCATGTAACTACCCAAAGTGGAGAATGCTAAATCCCAAGTGAACCGTGTAACAATACAATATGACAGAGAGGCTGAATAGTATGTAGGGTGATTTTAGAAGGACATAATTTTGGCTTTAAATAATAACTGATGTATGGAGTGAGGAAGACGTTCAAAAATTTTCAGTCTTTTTGACTATCATGGAGAACGATTATAGTTTTCATATCAGTGTTGTCACTAATATATTAGGATTGTTACTTTTCTAACAGTTGCTCATCTCCCTTTAGGAAGAAAAAAGAAGAGTATATTGTTTGTTTTCAATATGTTAATTTTTATAATTGCTCCTTTTTATGATAAATGAAAGGAGTTTTTAATTTCTATAAATTTTCCTTTAAAATATGTTAATTTAAGAAGGAAGACATTGCATAAATAAAAAATCATGACATCAAAAGTAGGAAGATGGTACTGGGAATATGGGAATGCTTGTGAAGGTGGTGAGAGAAAAACTGATGTTTGAGAAACATAGCTCTAGCAATAGGTTGGAAGAAGTGATCATAGTATTACTAATGATAGCAACATTAATTTAGTACCCACTGTAGTCTGGGAATATCTTTGGCACTCAATAAGCCTTGTCTCTAATCAGGAAAAAATGGGAAGCTCAGGGAAGATTTTATAAAGGGAAAAATGGGTATGTGGATGAGGAAGAATGTTTCAATGGGATTTTGGAGTTTGGGGTAGGGTTAAAGAAAGGTAAAAAAGAATTGGAATATGGTTCATTATCCATTCAGTATTCAACAGTGATTTATCCAGTATCTACTATATGTCAGTGCCTATAAAACAGGTGAATAAAATAAATATTTCCTGACCTGATGCTGGTTACTCTTTAATGAAAGAAAAATATCCTATTAAAACTCCAGGTTCTAGCCAGGCAGGTAGAGCATGCCTATAATCCCAGCGGCTCCAGAGTCTGAGGCAGGAAGATCTTGAGTTCAAAGCCAGCCTTAGCAAAAGCAAGGCACTCAGCAATTCAGTGAGACCCTGTCTCTAAATATAATACAAAATAGGGCTGGGAATGTGGCTCAGTGGTTGAGTGCCCTTGAGTTCAATCCTTGGTACCCCAAACCAAACAAAACTCTAGGCTCTGAAGTTTAGTTAGCTATGTGTTATGGAAGAGTTAAACAGGTGGAGAGTGACAAGGGGACTGAAAGGAAAGAGCCCTTGTAGATGACATTGCAGCCCAGAACCGGGAGAGGAGAAGAGTTGGCCTTGAGAAGAATAGGGACAAGAAGAAAGAGCATGACCAATGGAAAGATCTCGGGATATGGAGGATGGGAAAGAAAACACGTGTGCCTAAGCGAGGTGGCAAGGTTGGTGGGGACTGGGTCAGGCCCACTGAGGCCTGGTTGGCCCTATAGAGACATTTGGATTCCATTCAAATTGCAAATGGAAARTAACTGAAAAGTCTCCAGCAAGATGTGACAGGATCTGATGTAAGACTACAGATGTGTAAGAATTACATTTTATTCTCTGAATATAAATCCACATAAAAATAGATCTGATAAGGGCATCCACTTACTAAACGCTATAACAGTATAACTGTCTCCCAACAGTAGCATTGCAAGGGAGAGGGGCTTTTTAAAAAAWTTTTTTTTTWAAATAGTTGCAAGCTCCATGCTGGGCTAGATTTCCATATCACCTCAAATTGAACTCTTCCCAAAATAGGTTATACCTGAGGTTCCTGGGGGAGAACAGTTGCAAATTTAGTTGAATACTGCTGCTCTATTTCTATCCTTAGGCCAAGTGTTTCTCTYTCATAAATAAACTTAATGCCCAGAGAGAACATCAACCACTGTGTATTTCAGGTAAGTGGCTTTGCCGATAAACACGTCATTAATTGTGGGGTTATTTATTAAAGTCCCTGAATGGACAGGGACTCTATTAAAATGAGGTCTGGAAGACTATTTTAAGTTGGGGTACTACTTTTTTTTTTTTTTTAAATACAGAGACCTTGGTCCATTCATGCTTTCATTGAGCAAGTTGCAAGCCACCCGCTAGCATGGTGGTCCTGCTCTAGCGGATGGATTCAGAAACTGCCTCTCTRAAATGAGCTCATTGTAATGGGATAAACCAGGAAAGCAGCCACATGGTTTCCCAAGGGTGAAAACATTCTGAGTTGTTTATAAGTGGGTTGACTTTAACAACAACAACAAAAAAATCTCTGAACAAAGGCAGTATTTGGTGCCAACTTGGTTTGCGCAACTCTTCCCAAGAGACGCAGCTCCCAGCTTCCCGTGCCCKTTATCCCTGTGGTAGTTGGGAAGCGGGTGTCTGTGGGTGGGTCCAGATGACCCCTCCTGTTTATATTTCTCTTCCTTCAACTTTCCCTTACTATCTCCCTGCTGAGTCAGGACTGGGCTGCCCTGTGGGTGGGAAGTGGTAAAGGCGATGGAAACTCTCCCATGGCTTGGAGAAGGATGGTTTGGGACAGCAATGAACAAAACTCAGATGTTCACGTTTATGAGCTGGAGAGAAGAGCATTGCTGGAGGTCCAGCCTAGAGTGCTGGTGGTTCCYGTTTGGGCGGCATTTCTAGGAAGCGCATATCCTTGACCCCCTTGGCAAGGATGTCAAGGTCTGGCTGGAATGTAGAAGTAGACAGGATGAGCTCTGGCAGATGCTTCCCCTCCTTCTCTTCCTCGTCCTCCTCCTCTTTCTCTTCCTCCTCTCCTCCTTCCAGCCTTATGAAATAAACTGACATAATCAACTGCATATATTTAAAATACACAATTTGATAACTTTGACATATGTATACACTATGGAACAATTCTTATGATCATAATAGTGAGTACATCCATTCACCCAAGTGTTTCCTCACGTCCCTTAGTACTCTCTTTTATTCCTAAACCATACCACCCCTCCCACTCACCCCCAGCCCTGATCTGCTTTCTGTTACTATAGCTGGCATTTTACAGAGTTTCCTACTAATKGAACAGTACAGCATGTGCTTCTTGTGTCTGGCTCTTTGACTCAGGGTAGTTATTCTGAGGCTCATTTAGTTGGGAGTCTGTATCAATAGTCCATTCCTTTCAAATTATTGAGTAGTAGTATCCCATTGTATACATATGGCATGTTTACTTATTCATCTGTTGGTGGACCTTTGAGTTATTTTCAGCTTTTAGCTATTGCAAACAAAAAACTGTTAGGGATTTKTGTGTACAAGTCTTTCCGTGGACATACACTTTCTTTTCTCTTTGGTAAACACCTTCGGGTGGGATGGCTTGACCCTGTGGTAGGTAGGCATATATTTACCTTCTTAAATAACTGTTAAACTGTTTCCCAAAGTGGTTGTTGTGTTTTACATTCCTACAAGTAGTGTGTGAGAGTTCCACCAATAGGTGCAGTAGTGGTATTTTACTTTTTTTATCTGCACTTCCCAGTGTTCTCATGTGATTATTTGCCATCCATATATTTTATTTAGGAAATCTCTGTTAAAATATTTTAGTCATTTAAAAATGTCAAATTATAAAAAAACTTGACTTATTTGTTTCCTAATGATTTTAAGAGGTATTTACATATTCTAGATTCAAATCTCTCAAATGTATCTTGTGACAACTTTTTCTCAGTCTGAGACTTGTCTATGGTATCCTTTGAAGATGAATTTTTAAAATTTTTGATGAAGTACAATTCATTAATTTGTTCTTTAATAAATTATACATTTGGAATGGTATCTAAGAAATCTTCTCCTAACTCAAGACAACATTTTTTATTTTTTCATTTTGTTCTTGAAGTTTAAACTTTAGAAGTTTTACCTTTAGGTTTAGGTTTATGATTCATTTTGTATTAGATTTGTATGTGGTATATGGTATTCAACCATTATTTTTTTCTGTATAAAAATATACAATTTTTCCAGCACTATTTTTTTTTTAAAAAAAGCAATTTGTTTTATCTGCCATTTCACTTTCCCAATTCCATAGATCAGCTATGCAGGTAGGTGTGAGTTTGCTTCTGGGCTCTTTTTCTAGTTCACTAATTTACATGTCTATTTTTATACCAACACAGTACCATTTTAATTACTATTATTTTTTAATAATTTTAAAATTCAAACATTATCAGCCTTCCAACTTTCTTCTTCTTCTCCTTCTTCTTCTTCTTCTTCTTCTTCTTCTTCTTCTTCTTCTTCTTCTTCTTCTTCTTCTTTTCTTCTTCTTCTTCTTCTTGGGTAATTCAGTCTATTGTAGGTTCTTTGCATTTCCATGTAAATTTTAAGATCACCTTATAATTTTTAGAAAAATTTCCATTGGGATTTTATTAGCTCTATCTTGAAATCTTTTAGAATTGGCATGTTAATAATTATTGAGTCTCCCTGACTTATGTGCTTAGTGTCTCTCCTAACTTAAATAGGCCAGCATTTGTATATCTGAACGGTCTTTATTTCACTTCTGACTTCCAAARATATTTTCCATAGGTGAAGGATTCTCACTTGACAATTGTTTCTTTCAGTGCTTCAAATGTATGGCTTCATTGTCTTCTAGTGTGYATTATTTCTTAAGGAAACTCTGTCTTTCTTATCTTTGTTCTTTTTTCTTTAG